TTAAAAAAAAATCATCTCAATCGGTTAAAAATTACGGTCTATTGCAATTTTTGAACAGTAAATTTTCATTTGTCCCCACTGTGCGCCGGTAGGAAGCTTCTTGTAACGTTTGTGTCCAATAATGCAGTGTTGAAAAATGCGGTGTCCAAAAATAGTGTCTAATAATGCAGTGTCCAATACTAACGTGTCCAATAGTGCGTGTCCAATCGAGAGGTGTCCACCGATCTTACGCGTGTCCAACTACTGCTATGGTCCAAAACCGAAGATCCGCGTATCGTACCTCTCGTACGATAAGTCAAGCGACTAATATGGCGGTTACGCAAAGAGCCGCGCGCTATTCAAACGGGATTGTTAGCCTTGTTTTACGTTCATAATATATGCAATTGTGATTGTGTGTAAAAGTTTTAATATATAGCCTACAAATAATGTATTTAGTAAGCAAAAATCCGAATGTTACGTTACAATAAATTTATAATTTTATAAAGATTAAATAGGACAATTTTCAAACTTCCTGACATAAAATTTGAGTACTTGCCAATCACGAACCACATAACTGAATCGTCACAAACATGGAACATTAAATTTGACTTACTATAAAAGAATATATATATGTATATATATATTTTTTATGTATAAGACTTAAAGACATCTTTATAAGACGTCATAAGAACGTTTTTTTGACAATGGCAAAGTTCCGGCAGATGGAGGATGCCCTGGAGCCGGTTATGGGAGATGAAGTCTGGATGGCTCTCCCCGGGGACGCCGGTTGGGATCCTGAACCTGAACCGGTGCCGGAAGGAAGCTGCCAGAAGAGTGTTTTACTGCCTCCCCCCCCCGACAATCTTGGGAAGAGAGGGGCAGTGTTATGCCCGTGACTGGACGACGCCCGGTATGTGGCTAGTTGCCACAATACCGGGAAGACGAGTCGTTTGTAAATTATGTTGATCGATTTTGTGTCGGGTTTCGGCGGTTTGAAAACGCAAAACGAGCTGTGTTATTCTTTAAGGGTGCCATTCTAGCGCCTGGAGAAACAACCTAATTTTGACAAGTTTTTATGAGAATAACGAATGGAATATAAAACCAGTTTTAAGGCCTTTATTGTACATACTTTGAAATGTATTCACAAATTTTTTCAATTTAAAAAAATAAAATAGCGGTGTCAGAGCTCAGCAAAGGAAGCCTATTACTTTCCGCGGTCGGAAAGATCTCTCCTCCAATTTTTAACCTCAAAAACCAAAAATTTTTGTATTTTATATAAGATTAGCTCGAGAAGTACGTACAGAAATTAAAAAATACCGTTTTTTGTACAAATGGTACTCGTTTATAAAAAAAGTTTCATTTTTAGGTAAACATTTTTAGGAAAAACTGAAAATTTTTTCAAACGTGCACCATTTGTACAAAAAACGGTATTTTTAACTTTCCGTACGTACTTCTCGAACTAATCTTATATAAAACACAAAAATTTTTGGTTTTTTGTTCCAGGTTAAAAATTGGAGGAGAAATCTGTCCGACCGCAGAAAGTAATAGGTTTTCTTTGCTGAGCTCTGACGCCGCCATTTTATTAAAAAAAAATGGAAAAAATTTGTGAATACATTTCAAAGTATGTGCAATAAAGGCCTTAAAACAAATTTTATATTTCTATCATTATATTCCCACAAAAACTTGTTAAAATTAGGCTGTTTTTCCGGGCGCTAGAGTAATTACCTCTTAAATAAACCACACGTTGAGAATCTAGTATTCGGTGTCTTTTATTTACGCGGCCGCGCGCGAGTGCGAAAGTGCGCGTGTGAGACCTGCGGGATTGCCGCGACCGTCGTCGTTCCGTGCGCGCGGGCGTAATAATATGTATGGACATATTTGATGTATATTTTTATATAATTCTATATATTTATTCATGTTCATACATGAAAATTTCTTCACCGGGCTATGACAATTATTCGAAGAACTGAAAGAACTACGTGCTTCGATGAATTACTGCTCGTCATAAAAAACAGTAAAATGTACATGAATAATAATACTGTTTTTAAAACTAAAATCTTTATTTATAACTTAAAGTTCAATTTACTTTATATACGAGTCACTAGATACTGAAGACGGAGTCAAAGGTCAGACGAGATGTCAAACAGTATATGCTAATCTCACAATTAAGCAAACGGTCGCGCATAGGCTGGATTGCGGCACATATTCGATTTAATTACTGATGAAATCCAATACTTACGGGTTTCACAATGTAATACAACATTGTAAATACCTCCTCGGAGCCAACCAAAATATTAACCGTACGATCCACAGAAAACTTTAAAATGTACGTTGTTAACACGTAAACACGATTACTGATACCGTGACTAGTCAACCATTTTACTGGCCATTGAAATTACAAATAAGATTACAAACATTATGTAATTTTATTTTATAGCCATATTTCTACTTAGTCGAATTATTTAATTCCTATTTATTAATAGTCAAATTCACTTATTCATCAGAATATTGTAAAGTATTGAATTTAAAAATAAAAGAAACGAAAATAAGACAGAAAACTGTAAAAGATACAAACTTTAATTCGTGTTTTTTTTTAAATTAGACTTATATAACTTAAATAACAGCTCACATTGACATTCGGTAATTTCTATTCTTTCGTTGGCTACGCAAAGGTCATAGAATTACAGTCACTAAATTACTGCAGTGAAAATAAGAAATGCATAAGTTACCTAATATGCCGACGGATATATCTTGCAAGAGAGGTTGGATCTTGGTGAAAGCATTTTCTCCTTCGGCGAAATCCGCCGCGATAATCTTTACCTCGATTTTTGGATTTATTAGCAGCATCTCGTCTTTTGTGCGTTCAAGCTTTTCTAGGTTTCTGCTAATTAATATGAGATTCATATTTCTTGCCGCTAACTCTTTAGCGTAAGCTTTACCGATACCATCAGTCGAACCAGTGACAACTAGAATATTTGTAATTATGATTCAAAAATTCATGATCAAAGTTCTCGAGGTTCTCAATCAAAGTTCAAAGATTACAGAGAGAAGAACAAAAGATACGTTTTTCGCGCTTACCGGCCCATTCACCGAATTTTGTTCGCAAATTAATTGTCTCCTTATTGTATATTTGTATAATAATTTCCCATAGAACACGCATAAGTCTCGTAACAGGACCAAGTAGTATCCAAAACGCAATAAAAGTGACTAATACCCAAAATGCTATTGTTGATAGCATTTTCTCTAATTTTGTGCGCACTACTTTGTTGTAATCACCTATAAATTAGACGAATATTTCAGTTAGAAAATACAGAAAATACCTTTCTTATTACTCTTATTTACAAATTCTCGACATATTCTTGTCAGACACGAGACATTTTTTGTTTTTAATTATCCACTTATAATTTTGCAATTACTTTGTTAAATAATATCAAATAATGTTTTTGGAAGATCTTGTGAATGTTTTTGAAATTCGTCACGTAAATACGATGTCACAATGTGAGAAAACATTTGCGGGAATCTCAAGGTTTTAAGATGTGAAAGTATGTTGCCTAATCGCGCCAGATATTTCGGTAATGCAACGAAAGCGTCCTGTTTCTTCTTTTAGTATATCGTCAAAACTGTGTCTTCTCACTTATCTCTTATATTCACGCTCACTTTTATTTGCGCACGTTTGCACAAGCTACCGGCGCGATAGAGAGATGTTCGAAGAACGAAGGCCGAAGCAAGACTAAACGTCATCTCGCTCGGGCGATTGTAAGTACTGAAGGCCAAGTCGAGAAGTCATGGCACTTTCTCCTTTTGCTGAAATTCCCGTGGCTCCATGCACACTTTTTTTATGGTTTTGGGTCAAACAGAAAATTTCAACTCTTGTCATGTATATATATCATACATGTTATTCTATCGAGTTAAGGGTCAGCGGTTATCAAATGTTTGCCGTGTTTGCATTTTTTGCGTCAGTAAAAGTTGCTTTGCGAATGATCAATTCGCAGATGATATGTATGCGAAAAATTATATGGAAGATGACATTTCAGAAAACATCGACATGTAAATATTCTCAACAAGAGAGTTACGAAATTACAAGAGATAAATTCTCAGACATGTACGTAACATTCGCTATAATATATGTTGGGAGAGACCAATTTTTCTTTAATTAACTAATTTCATTTTTAATTCCCTCGATTTACTTTTTTAATACCATATATACTAGACAACACAAGCGCGCGCCATTTGTTCTCACTAAAAATTCGCATGGATGACAGCTGCAAATAACACGACTGAAGTATGTCGTGTCGCACAAGCGAGACAGCCAATTAGCATCTCGGAAAGGTGACAGCAATACTTCGAGCAATACTTTCGACTATCGATTTAACACGCCTTTTTTATATAGGAAGAGGAGAGGAGATAGGAGACTTTGTAAGACTTTGTAATATCTCACATTTTTAAACTATTTGATTTTGGAATACTTTTTTGTGTTCGCTGCACGAGCTCGTTTTATGATTACTTTTACTCGTATTGAAGTTAAAACGCTTTTTCAGACACGCGAATCAGAAGCAATTTAGCTAACGATCCGACATTCATCCATGATTGAGATTGCATGCGAACATGTTGCTGGCCAATGATAAAACTCGTTGACCCTGATTGTGACTTGATATAATCTTTCTTTAAAGAGGCCACTTTTACAAGCATTGCTGACCGCATTTTCCGACCTACAATTCACCGGCAGGAACCAACGAGTAACTACTGCATTTTGCAACTGGTATACAGCTGCATTATTAATTTATGTCATCAATACAGAGATTCACGAAAGTCTGCCAAATATAAAAACTAAAAAATTTTTAATTTTTATATGTAGATACTAGATTTATTTCACATAGGTAATAGAAATATATATAAAAATATTACTATTAAACTTCTCAGATTAATTAAATTAGTTAATAATAAACAAATCAAGTATATACGGATTTCCTCATTTTTTAACTGAGGACTCATTTCAAACTCGATTTCTTCTTACCGAAAATATCAAGTTAGTGTGTTGGACAATAATTAAATTTTAAATTAAAACTCTAGTTAAAATACACTCCATCCGAGGTCAATTAAAGAATTAATTTTGTTCCTCTTTTCAAGGCTCCTGAACACTCTTCGCAGCAATGTGGAATCGTGATGTCAGAGGCGAGAATTCACATATGCCATAAAAAGAGATATTTGAATAACGAACAATCACTTCAAATCGTTTTAGCACTCTGGGTAAAAATATTCGAGAACTATCCTTTTGCTTTGACAGTTAATAAACAGTCGTAGAATGTGAACGTAATATGAATCCTAGTCGCATGACGCCGCGCATGCGCAAGCCTAGTTATGACTGCGATTCTTATTGCGTGCACTTTTTACGGCTATTTATTAAATCATTTTCAAACGTTTTTATAAGTGAAGTGATGTAAAGTGTGTTTTATTTAAAAAGGGCACGTAAGAATTCTCAGCGTGTCGCTTCTCGACTTTTGCTAGTATTACATTTGTCATACGACAAATGTTTCAAGCGTTGGCTGCAGAATAGAAAAGTTCTTGAGTCTCTAGAAATTTGCTATTCTACAGCCCGTCCAACATGCTTGAAAAATTTGTCGTACGACAAATGTAATGCCAGCCTTTGAGGTTACGACTCCACCTGGTCGCGGCGAGTATTCAAGACCCTCAAGTTCAATTCTCCAAAAAGTTTGGTTTACGTTTTGAAGTGCTTACAATAAAAATAACACAATAATGCTTTGACGTTTTCTGAGAGAAAAGTCAACTTAAAATTTTGCTAAACATGAAAATTTGTTACTGAGCGAAGGACCTGTGGTTTTTGATCACCACAACGCTTGTTGATATCTTTATCATGGATAACACAGATAAATTAGCGTTACTATTGCAACATCAAAGGAAATAGGTTTTATGGCACAGAGGCTTTCGTGTAAGTTACGTAACGAAAATTGCGTCATAGCGCGTGTAGTCATTTCGTGCAGAAGAAAATCATTTGAAGAAAATCTCGTGTGTGACATAAAAGTGAAAGTAAGGTAAGTGAACTATGAGATGGAACTGTCGGTGGCAATCAGGAAAGGTGTAAAGTGTAAGTAAACAAGTAAAACGACGCGCAATATTCAATTCGGTTAAAGGCCAAGGAAATCATAGTTTGTCTTGCTCCGCTGGAAGAAATTTTAGGCTGAATGGCTCGCTATGATTAAAATCATCTGCAATCTGGTGGTTTTTCTCGTGGTTCGCCACGTAGACAAGGCGGTTCGCTCGCTCGCACCAGCTCATCAATTGTCCATTCATTTGATTTTACATCACGTGATCTTTGGTTTCAACAAATATACACGCACGGGTTTCGCTGAAAGTGGGGAAGTCCGTGGACATGAATCCGGGGGTCAGAAGAGGACGGACTGATCCGGGGCGACCGAAAAGGGAACGAGAACGAAAGAGCGGAGAGGCGCGCGCAGCGTCTCTTTCACTTCGCACACCGACACATCATCGTTTCGTTTCCGAGAGCCTTCCAGGCGACCTAACGCGATTGCCGGCTGCTACGGCGATCGGCTGCTTGACCACTCGTGTTCTCCTTACGGTGCACGGTGTCCGTCGACGAGTTTCTCGTCGAGCGTGCAGCCAGCTCGTTGTACTTCCCGCACGGGGTTTCGGAAAAGTGAAACGGAAGTGTTATTCGTGCAGAATTCGTGGGCAGAAGGGATTTTTCAGCGGATCGATTTATCGGTGTGTCCCTGGAAGGCCAAGGTCTTCAAGAAGCTCTGCGAACGTCGGTGCGCTTGACCGTGCGCTCCAAAGGATTCGCCGAGTCGCGGAGCACGTTGTTTCGATTTTAAACACGCCTTGCCTGTTTGCCGGACCACAAGGTGAGTCCTTCAGTGGTCACGACTACAGAAGAAACGTCGGATCTATTTAATCTCTTTGCAAACTTATAATTTGTTGTTAAAAAACTGATGATAAAAAACTAATGATACGTGTGAAAATAATTGCGAAGGAGCGGTTGTGGACTGATTGCAATTGCTCATTACTCGGGGCAAAGTCAGCTTGTGACAGCAAATTGATCACGATACGTCGAGGAATGTTCATGCATTTTGCAAATTGTTAATTACCCTTAATAAATTCGCGGAGCACGTTTCGTTGCGACAATTCGAATATTTATTAATAATAATCACATTCAATGGTTTCGCCTAACTGATTTGGGTTAAAGGTATCATTAATACGCGCAGACGCGCTGTCATTTTAATTAAAATTCTTGTCGCGCAATGCGACACGTGAAGCATAAAATTTTGGAGAGTGATTATTCCTCGGAGTATTTTTAAATCGCAAAAAATGCGGCGGAATGTCGCATGGTTTTCTCGTCATTACTGTTTCATAATTGATTAACTCGATTTACTTGCTGATTAATCTCCAACCTCTGATTCGATTTCAACATATCCGCGTTACGCTCGATTTTATGCACGTGTCTGGTATATGCTTTGGAAATATCAATCAAGCAATATCACAATTACGCTTTTAATCTTACGTTTGGTTGCGCTTGTTATGTCTTATAGATGATGTTCGACGTGTCATAATACAATTACACTATGTTGCTATTTTTGGATTTCACACACGGCAAAAAGAATAATGTTGTATTAACACGATCAGTATAATTGAAATAAAATCGTTGAAACGACATCAGTATTAATAAACGAAAAACATCAGATTGTTGTCTTAATAATCTGGATATTTAGTTCAATGCTTAAAATTAAAATTTATAGCAAATGTTTGTAGCAGCCCGTGACGTTAACGTTTAATTCAAACAACTTCATTTTGCTTAATTCAACAGCATTTTTTTCCCGTGCACACAGTAGCACAGTGCATTGGCTAAACATTGGCCCAATACAAGCAAATATTGGGCCAATGCACTGTGTTACTACCCAGTGAGAAATGTTTCGTCGATCGACGTCGAAATGATGTCGAATCGACGTCAATTCGACGGGGTCGATGTCGATTCGACGTCGATCGACGAATCATTTCTCACTGGGTAGGGAGTCGTTTGTGACAATCGTTTTTGTTTTAAAAGGATGAAACAGCCCCGATAGGAAAATGTGTCAAATATTGTGTAATCACTGCATAATCCAAAAGGAAGGAATTTCACAATGATTACATTAAGGTAATTCACCAAAACGCAGCGGTTTTGTAGGAATAAAATTTCTAAATGGTATTAGATTTGCAAAAAAATTGATAATTTTCATTTATAGGATAAATAATCATGCACAATTATTTCGACGTTTAGAAGCAAAATTGCCCAGCAACACAGTTACGTGTAATAAACGTTTAAAAAAGGTCTAGCGTGGGATGTGTTTACCGCTGGGTCTGTTTTATCTCGTGAATTTTACTTACGAGTATGAGACGCCTCGTAGCGGCAGCTCCTCGTAACACGACAGCAATTTAATTGCGCAAATATTCTGCCAAGGTGATTCGCCAAAACGTTGTTTTGCTGATGTACCTCGTATTTGGAAATATATTGTGCAAATATTTATCAATATTTGGATGGAAGGTCTCTATTTCTGCATGTTTTTCAAATATGTACGCATAATTCCAGCATTCCAAGTTTCATCCAGATTTTGTCACATAATTTGCTAAATATTTTTCGATCGGGGAGACTAATCTGAAATTATATATGAATATGAATAATTATATGAACAATTGTATACATTTATACTTGTATATAATTATTATATAGTAAGTCGTGTAAAATTATATCTAATTATATAACGAATACATGATTACATATATTTCTATTTAATTTTATACAATAGTTATATATTACTAAATATGTAAAGTTTTAACAGGAAATAAAAAGAAATTATTTAAATTAATATGAAAACATATAGATTTTGTTTTTTTTGTAAAAGTGCTGAAATATGGAATCCTTGTATAAACAGATAAAACTCGTAAAAAGACTTAACAATCTTATTTATAAAGATGTGAGCGTAATTAAAAAATTTTTTAGAAACATGAAATATATTTTATCGACAAAAACCACATACATATGCATCTTTTTTCGCATCAGACTACACCTCATTTCACAATACCATAGACACATTAAACAACGAATCTACAATATTTTATTTCTTCAAAACACGAACTTCACAAAATATAGAGTTAAAGTAGGACTCTTAATAAAACTAAACAACACATAAGAAACGGCATGCGGCTCTAAGGCGAGATGTATGTAGGTAGCCTACACTTGTAATTTATTAAAATGTGAATTCATGTACCGTTTCTTTTCACCTTTGTCCTGCGCGCCGGTTTCACAAAATATACACTCCGCATTCCGGAACACAAAATAAACATACAAAAAGACTCCTATATTTTAAACAATATACTTTTAATCTTACTTTTAAATTTATCCTACATTTTCTGTCACGTACGGACAAGAATCTTACAATTTTTCTAGAATTTTCTTCCCACTAAGACTCTTTCAAACATTTACATATAATACTTACTTACTTACTTACTTCGACGCACTACTTAAGACATTCACTACTTAACATTTAACTAAAAATTCGACATTCAGTTAATATTTCACTCTTCAAACGACAGCATGTTCAGGTTAAACACTTATTGTTAGAAAATTTTAAGTTCCGACACCGTACTCTTTACACTTACAAAATCCTGTCCAGACTTAGAAATTAACAACCATCGTGTAACTTGAAAGATACAAATAAAAGGTAAAAACTGTAAGAAATCTTCCATATATTAATACGATTTCCTTCGTGATCCTGTCCTTCTCTAGTCGCTGCCGAGAAGCGTAGCGAACGGAATTTCTGACTCTCTCTCTTTCTCTCTCTCAAAGAATAACCAGCACAAGTCCCCTCCTACTCAATTTATAAGGACATTCCGAAGTCAGATCTTCACCGCGAAGTTTACAAAATGCGCTATCTTTCCGGGCAAGAATAAAATCTATCATCTTTACTATTTTCATCATTAGTAATTTTCATGCAATCGAGTCCGATCCTCGGCAAGGCACTTAAATGTATTGATTGAAAAACGGACGTAACGAATACTCTTGTCAAATCGTGACATTTATAATCTTAAATTGTATAGAAATCCGATAGAAATGTAATTTGAGACTTTTTTACTTCAATTTACAGCAAATTGAAAAGAGAATTAAACTTAGAAGAATTCTAAAGAAATATAACATAAAAATGACCAAATTATGTTAGTTGGTACTTACATATTTTACAAAAGAAGGAAGATTACAACTCCAGAAACTTTTGTGTATATTTTGCTGACAAAACCTCACGAATAAGTGAGCAGGGAAAAATGGTCAGCGGCGCCAATCGAAAAACATTGTGTAAGAGATAAATGGTTAAAATGATATCACTGGTTTGGGTTGTACTATCTATATTAAAAGCATGTTCTATGTATATTCGGACCAGATCGTCTATCTGAAAAAGATAAAAAGTATCATTCGTTGCTTCGAGAATAAAGAGTGCTGCATTTTCATGACTTTTACAACTATACGTAAAAAGAAGACATTGTCCGCGTTGTGATACGATTGCACTTGTGTTACGACCGTAACATTGGCCTAGAAAGTTACATTGCGGTCCCATTGTCTGCGTCAAAGGAAAGAAAATATAATGAGCGAATAATAGACAAGGATACAAAAGAACGCACGAAGGTCGAGAGAAAGAAGAATCGATATTTTACAATGCCTATAATTACTTGATAATTAGTTGACAACGAAAAGAACTTGCTCGACTTTGCTCGTAGAAACATATTATAATATAATCATACTAGTACTTCGTAATATATCTTGTCAATTGCGTAAAACAACCTGTAAAACTGGTTTGAGAAGACTGTTATGAAGGACGTCGACTCTCGTTGATATTTTTTAGTTCTTTTGTTCCAAATAAATTGGCTGCGTTCGGCAGGAAAAGCTGCTTTGCAACTGTTGTAAAATTCGTGAATCTGATTGGTGTGTCCTCTCAATCTTGTGTGAATTTTAGAGCATACGCCAATCAGATTCATGAATTTTACAACAGTTGCAAAGCAGCTTTTTCTGCCGAACGTAGCCATTGTATTTTTATGATTGCATTGAAAGCGCCATCTACTATATTGCTAACGATTAGTAAGTATATGTCTGTTCATGCGCCTGTTTACTTCGTTTACAATTTCATTTAGAACCTTTCCTTGTTTTTTAATGAATAGTAATAAATAAATCACGTTAACATTATTCTTACTTTGCTCTTATGCCATTAATACATTCCGAGATGTGTCGTTTTATTACGTTGTAATTCTTTATCGATATTATCTCACACATTCATCGTAATGTAAATCGATAATCTAATCGTAACTGGTTTACTGTCGCACATAGTTTATTTATCTATCTAATCGAAAGTAGCACAAGATAATATAGCGTTTAGTGTATAGAATCGTCATTGCGGTCTCGCAATGGCGTTCTATTATGGAACGGAAAACTCTGTAAAAAAAAGGGGGTCGTCTTTCGTTTTATTTTTGCAGATTCAGAGTTTTACAGACTGCACGGTATTTCGCAAGAGAGTCCAATGCTCGCGGCGAGTAAAGGGAAACGATGACAAGATGTCGAATGTGGAGGATAATTTTGTTCGTTACTATTTGGAGAGCGAGCGTAAACGCAAACACGAACGGCGCGCAAATCTATTCAAATGACGAAGACAAGAAACCGCTCGAGCCGAACAAATATATTTATTCCTGGACAGGGCCAAACGCGTTGGCCAGGTCGGCCTTGGTGGAGAGACAAGAAAGGCTGCAATATAATTGCGAGCTTGAAAGTAGCGAGGTCGATATCGCCGAGTTAAACCCAGAATCATTCAGAAATATCCTCGTGGACGATTTGCACGAATTGCTCTATTGCTACGTACCAAAGGTATCAAAGTTCATCGTCTTATCAATGAGATAATCAGAAAGTACTGAGTTTTTGTGTTGGGCGTTTTAAGGATTTCACTCTTTCAGGTGGCTTGCACAAATTGGAAGCGCGTGTTAATGATCGCGGCCGGGAAGTGGCCCGGTAACGATCCTTTAGAAATACCAGCCGACCAGGCTCATTCCCCCGGTACTTTCCAGCGATTGAATAATTACACTCTGTCCGAGATAGAGAAGAAATTGGCGACGTACGACAAGCTAATCGTCGTGCGACATCCCTTGGAGAGACTTCTATCGGCTTATCGAAATAAATTGGAGACCAAACATGAGAAAAGTGCAAGATACTTCCAAACGCGTTTCGGCAAAAAAATTGTCAAGGTAAAGAACGAGTCTTCTTAAAAGGATCCTTCGGCCATCTTTTTTTACCGACACAGTCAAATAAAGTTTTTGCGCTTGTAATTCCTTTTATTAGCTTTTATGCACAAAATAATACCAGGATAAATTGCGGACCGCATAGCAGAACATTTTTATACTTAAAACATTCAGTTCAGATGTCTAATAAAAAAGATATTGGTATCTGAAATTTTCAATTCGTAGCTCTAACTAAATTTGAAATTGACTTTATAAAATTGCAAAATTCTTCCACACGATTAAAGTACACATAAAGACTAATCCAGTAACAGTCATCTTTATATTAAAAAAAAAACGAAAAGAAATAAAAACTATTACTTTATAAATGATTGAGGTTATAAGGTAGCAATTGCTAAAGTGAGTTTTAATTTCCCTTTGTCTTTTTTTATATAAAGATGACTGTTTCTGGGTTTGTCTTTATGCGTACTTTAATCGTGTGGAAGAATTTTGCAATTTTATAAAGTCAATTTCAAATTTAGTTAGAGCTACGAATTGAAAATTTCAAATGCCAATACCTTTTTTATTAGACTTCTGAACTGAATGTTTTAAGTATAAAAATGTTCTGCTATGCGGCCCGCAACTTATCCTGATATTATTTTGTTCATAAAAGCTAATGAAAAGAATTACAAGCAAAACTATATTTGACTGTGTCGTTAAAAAAGATGGCTGACGGATCCCTAGCAATTACCGACTCGGATAGGATTGGGATTGACGATTGTCCTCTAGCCAACGAGAGTCGACTAAGTCGCTGGCTGCTTTGCTCTCATTGGCTAGAAGACAATCGCCAATCAGACTAGCAATTGTCGACGCGAATTGGATTGGGATTGGCGATTGGCGATTGTCCTCTAGCCAATGAGAGTCGATTAAATCACTGGCTGCTTTGCTCTCATTGGCTAGAAAACAATCGCCAATCCCAATCCAATCCGCGTCGACAATTGCTAATCTGATTCGGCGTTTAGGTATCGTTTGTAATTCTTTAATCTTCATTTCGATTGTATACTATTCATCATGTAATATATTTACGGATTAGTTTATGATCTCACATTGCGATCTCATCTCGGATATGACAGTTTGAAATAAGTGGACAGCGTCAATAAATGACCGTTTCGATTAAACTCTTTTTCTTTCTATCGAGTTGTTTTATAGTTACATTGCCGACTTATGCGTCTACACATAAATAAGAAAGTATTTATTTGTCCAAGCGTCATAGAGTCTCGTTTCTTTTCAATAATTGGATCAAATTTAGAAGTACCGTATAATTGCGCACTTCTCGGAATATGATTACGATTAATTCCGCAAGTTGTCCCACTTTTATCGCAATAACCGTTAATGACAAGTTCCGTATGCAAATGGAGATGAATAGCCTAACGTTGAGGAACATCGAGTCACAAGTGGCGACATTTTTACAGAAATACAGGCCGAACGCGACTGAGGAGTCTTTAAGAAACGGCGACGACGTGACGTTCCGCGAGTTCGTCGATTTCATCACCGATGACACCGAGAATGGGACTCGGAACGAACATTGGAGACCGATATACGATTTGTGCCAACCGTGCACAGTTAATTACAATCTCGTAAGCAAGTACGAGAGCTTGGTTGAAGATGCCACGGAAGTTCTCGAACGGATAGGCGTCACATCTGTGAAGTGAGTGCACGCACTTACAATAAAGGCCTCTGTGCCCGCGATGCTTGGACCAAGCTCTAGCATCGTAGACACGGGGCCTTCACACTTGCGATAACACGATGACAATTTTAATAGATGTTTACATATACATTTGCGAAACATTTTGTTAAATATAATTGTGCAGTTTTCCAGCTGGACCACCGAGCAACGAGCCGACGTCGAGAAAGCTGGACAGATATTACTCTACTCTGAGCTACAAACAACTTCGTAAGCTGGCAGATCTGTATAAATTAGATTTAAGGCTGTTCGACTACTCGTTGGAGGACGTGCTGGGATTTTCCTTGGCTTAAGCTCGTTAATGTTCACGTAAACAGAAGTAAATGTAATGTGTGATACGAGTCAACTGTCAAACAAGTCTTACGTGTACTAATGACCTAACGCGCTGGTCCACGCGTTGGAACGAATAATTATTATTGCATTATGTAAATGCAATAATACAGGAAACGTTCTAAAACCTCTAAGTCGAACGACGAACTTTCTCAGCTATTTATTTAACTTTGTATAGGCACAGCCTCGTACTACCTCAGGTTAAGTAACGTACAGAATTAAGAAAAAATCAAAACTTACTGGTACGTGAAAATATGTATATATTGTTTTGATCTATTGAGGTGTATTTATTATTAAACCATGGCGATATTAGCATCATCAGCATGAACAAGAAATCAAAACTAGGATGTACAGCAGATGTTTTCAAATATAGATATTAAATATACAAATGTAAATACACGGTTAAGGGGATGCTGGAGTCGTTCTGTTTTACCGACATTTTTTATATAAGGATATCTTTTAATTGGCTTTACAGAATTGCAAATTCTTGTACACGATTAAAGTTCGCACAAAAATAAAAGTCAGCCTACTCGACTTTATATAAAAAACGAAAAAAAACTAAATATTCCATTAATTTTTGGCATGTAGAGCTGTCACATGACGATAATATTTGCTTAATACAAAAGTTCTATAGTTTATATCTGCAAAATGAGACCGGAGTGACCTAGAGACAACATGCAAGAACAATATTGTGTAATTGGAACTAAGATTAAAAGTCTAGAAAAAAAGATAGGTTTAAATAAAAGTTAATAAATGCAAATACAGCAGCTGTAGAATGATAAGTAGAGCAGTATTGTGTGTAGTAATAGATGCCGGATTTTGTGTATTGGCATCTATTCGATCCGGCATCTATTACTACACGCAATACTGCTCTACTTATCATTCTACAGCTGTATTTGCATTTATTAACTTTTATTTAAACCTATCTTTTTTTCTAGACTTTTAATCTTAGTTCCAATTACACAATATTGTTCTTGCATGTTGTCTCTAGGTCACTCCGGTCTCATTTTGCAGATATAAACTATAGAACTTTTGTATTAAGCAAATATTATCGTCATGTGACAGCACTACATGCCAAAAATTAATGGAATATTTCGTTTTTTTTCGTTTTTTATATGAAGTCAAGTAGGCTGACTTTTATTTTTGTGCGCACTTTAATCGTGTACAAGAATTTGCAATTCTGTAAAGCCAATTAAAAGATATCCTTATATAAAAAATGTCGGTAAAACAAAACGACTCCAGCATCCCCTTCAGATAT